CATAGGGTGAACCTCTGTCTAGCCTCACAGGGAGATAGGGAGAAGGGAAGCGGGAGGGGGGGGTGAGAGGATGTGAAAGGGGGAGGAGGAGATAAGAGGGCAGGGGGAATGCCTAATCTTTAGGTGATCTGTTAACCATATAAATCACACAAATAAAGTTATATACACACACACAAACACGAATGCCACATATTCTTCAGCGTGTTTGGTCCGGGTGTCAGGTCGGCGTGAATCCTCTCCATCAACGGTCATATTTAACCTCAATCCTCCTGTAAGTGTTTATGACTGAACCAAACTCACGGGAGACTCCACGTACACACGAGCCTCGGGAGACTTTAATATACTACACATGACTTGTTTTGTACACAGCTGGGTCCTTGGTTGTATCGTGACCCACTTGTGTTGTTACCTGTGTTCTGGTTGAGTGTCAGGGAAATGTGTTGGGTTGTAATGTGAACTGAATTCTATCCAGTCCTCAGGTCCTCAAAAATAATTTGTTATTTTCGGATTACTCTTGAAGATTTGCCCTCCCGATAGTTTATTTCACCTGATGATTAAACACCCTAACGTTACCTGGAAGGGGTTAGGTTAGGTTAGGTTGGGTTAGGTTAGGTTAGGTTGGGTTAGGTTAGGTTAGAAATCATTAAGAAGCGTAGTTCAGACAAAGGCGGATAGACAGAAAGGTAATGCTGATAAGTCCTTGTTTGCGATAGTTTATGCCCATTTATTATTACACACACACACACACACACGCACACATATTCTCTCTCTCTCTCTCTCTCTCTCTCTCTCTCTCTCTCTGCTGGTCACACTCAGACAGAAAGACAGGACCTTCACCGAGCTACCGACACCTCTTACCCTATTCTGTCGTGAGTCAACAGTATAGAGGTGCTGACTACTCGGTGGTGACGTCATGCTTACGTCACAGCAACGTCATCGTCCGTCTGCGTGTGGAAGGAATATGACCATAGTCTTGCTAGCTGCTACAGTGGGTAGGGAAACGTAGAACGAGACAGGAGGAGGAAGGGGGCAGGGGGGAGTTAGGGGGATGCAGGGGGAGATAGTGTGACAGGGAAGATACAGAGGCGGTAGGGGGAGGCATGTGGAGGCAGGGAGAAGCAGGGGAGGCAGTATATGAACGTTTAATCACTAGTTGGCTGTGGCTTCCCAGCACCTGCTCTCACCTACACATCTATATATAAAACAAACACTGGTGTGAGTGTATGCCCGCGGGCAGGTGTGGGCTCCTCTAGGGGCTCTACACCTGAATCTCACGTGTAGACTGCTCAACCGAGGGCCCCATACCTGAGACTTACGAGTAATCTCCTACTGGGGCTCCACACCTGAGTGTCGCATGTCGGCTGCTCCCAGGGACTCCCACACCTGAACCTATATCTGAGCTTGGCTGCCACTTCCGTACACACCTGTCCCCACTACTCACTAGAGCCAAGATTCTAAATAAAAAAAAAAAAAATCCGATGTTAATTGTCTTTTCCTCAACTAGAATTGCTAGAACACACCTGACTGACTCATTTAAACCACCACCACACAAAGTTGGTTTCTCACAAGTTCATTAAGGGTTGGAATTTCATCTTAGTAAGAGTTTCAAGAAAGGTGTCTGACTGGCTTTCTAATGATACTGTCTAAAGAGATGACAGTCAAACTTCTCGGTGAAATATCCCTGAGACTCAACTAGGAGTACTGTATATACGTTTCCTCATCTTTATTTTGAGGGAAAACTACAGACGTCTGGGGGAAAGTTTCAATAGCCACACTAATGCTGTTTGTTTACATTCTGTCTATGGTCGAGGCTGCTTACTTAATCTCATGTTGTCACCCTGTCGATATACCACTGTGAGGTTGACTGAGTGTAGGACTAAAGCCTCCTAGGAAAAAAAGTTCCTTAGGATAAAAGCCCAAGCGGACAAAAGCCCCCTAGGACAAAAGCTCCTTTGGACAAAAGCCCCCCGGACAAAGCCCCCTAGGACAAAAGCCCCCAAGGACAAAAGCCTCCTAGGACAGATAGTAATTTTTTTTAAAGCATTATTTTTATTCTTTATTATTTATGATTTATGAACACTTCTCTGACACGTAAAATATTAGATTTATTAGATCATAAGAAGTCAAAACCTAATCTAACCTAACCTAACCTATTTTGTACTTTAACTGAAGAACTTTGATCCAAATTTACACTTTAACACTTTAACTCTGTCTCTTTGTCTGTGTGTACCTGAAAGATTTAATTTTCTATCAAGTGTGGCAGTGTATTAAGGGCAAGTTCTTGGTAGGGTTAACTGGGTGTGTGGCTGTGTGAGTGTCATGGTCATTATTGGTTTAAGGGAAAGGATGGTTTTATTACAGCGGTTCTCTAATGAGTTCGTTTGTGTGATAGATTGATCTTATTCTCCCCCCCCCCTTCCTCCTTTCATTTCCCTTGAAACCGTTCCCTTCCCTTCTCGCACTGTTCCTCACCTTCCGGAATTCAGACCAGAGTCATCTTAACCATCCTCTTCTTCCTTTCCTCCACTTATCCCTCCCTCCTTCCTTCCCTCCTTTCCTTCCTCTCATTCTCTGTTCATTCGCACGGTTTTTCATTTTTTTTTATTATTATTTCAGGACTACTCGAATGCACTTAACTTAAACGAGTTAAATATATGAATCTATCGCCAGCTATCATAAAAAAAAACCCTCGGTATCCCAATCTTTATCATCAATATTTTCAGCCCATTAGGGAAGGTAGTCGTCAAAATTAAAAGCAGCGGGACACTGTTTAGTTAAGACATCAGCTGGCGCGCGTTTATTTCCTCATCAATGGTTCAGTTTTTTATTGTCACACTAAGCCTTCTTTAACGCTGAAGATGAGAAATTTATTGTCATTGTTGTATATTCCTTCTAATTCTTACGTTAAGGTTGAATGACTGAAATATACGAAGCTAGAAGGTAAATGTGAAAATGGCGAATCGTAAACTCGGGATGCGCACGGTAGTAACGTCACTGCTGAGGACTCGGCTTAACAAACAGCAACCACAATGGGCACGTGCGTCAGAGATACGTCAAAGGAACGTCATAGGAACGTCACAGGTACGTCACAGGAGGCTCGGCTTATGAGAGGGTCGTGATCTTACCTGTGTTACGTGACGTGTTTGAAGGTATAAAATGGCGTTCAAAGTATCGGCACGACTCAGTGATAGTTGATCGGATATTGTGAAGCTCTCCCCAGTATACGTAACACGCCGTGGCAGTCCATTAGGCGCCGTAACTCTTAACACACACACACACACACACCGCCCTAGTTGTCTCGTTCACTAACCTACTTAATTAAACAAAAAATACAAAGATAATATAATTCATTAACTTTTATTTGTTTACACATACTGTTGAAACACGGAGGAGCAGTGGCCAGGGTTTCCTATCACGTGAGTTCTTGAATATGAGACTCAAAGACACGCTGAAGTTGTGTGTTGGTTACGAGGGTAAGTTATTTTACGGCACAAGATGACCTTAAGCAATACTTCATCCACCATGATCTTATTAAATAACAGACTGAAAATAACCTAACCTAACCTGACATAACCTAACCTGACCTGACCTGACCTAACCTAAGCTAACCTAACCTAACCTAACCAAAGTTGACCTATTCCTAACGAAACCTAACAAAATCCTAACCAAAGTTGACCTTTCAAAACAAACTTAACCTATTCCTAACCAAACCTAACTAAATCCTAACCTAAGTTCACCTATTCCTAACCAAACCTAACCTAAACCTAACCAAATTGTGACCAAACTTAACCTATTCCTCACCAAATTTAAATAAATCCTAACCAAACTAAACCTAATCTTAATCGAACTTGGCCAAATCCTAACCAAACTAAACCAGCTAACACATTATCTAGCAGCTAACAATTATCTCACAGCTAACACTTTATCTCACAGCTAACACATTACCTCACAGCTAACACATTACCTCACAGCTAACACATTATTTCACAGCTAACACATTACCTCACAGCTAACACATTATCTCACAGCTAACACATTACCTCACAGCTAACACATTACCTCACAGCTAACACATTATCTCACAGCTAACACATTACCTCACAGCTAACACATTACCTCACAGCTAACACATTACCTCACAGCTAACACATTACCTCACAGCTAACACATACCTCACAGCTAACACATTATTCACAGCTAACATTAACACACCCTCACAGCTAACACATTATCTCACAGCTAACACACCATCTCACAGCTAACACATCATCTCACAGATAACACACCATCTCACAGCTAACACATTATCTCACAGCTAACACATCATCTCACAGCTAACACACCATCTCACAGCAAACACATTACCTCACAGCTAACACATTACCTCACAGCTAACACATTACCTCACAGCTAACACACTATCTCACAGCTAACACATCATCTCACAGCTAACAAATCATCTCACAGCTAACACACTACCTCACAGCTAACACACCACCTCACAGCTAAGAGACAGTTAACCCCCCCCCCCACATACCTTCCTCCTCCTCCATTACATCATGACCACATATTTTTTTCAGTCAAATAACATGAGGTACTTACTGTCAGGCGGATTAATGATTGACCTATATTGTGACCTTAATCTGGCCTTGATGGTATTTAATGTCAGAGATGGATATATTTGATGTCAATTAGATGGATCCCTTCCATCACACTATAGCTCCACCCCTTCCACCACACCATACCACCATCCCCTTCACTACCACACCACAACACCACCCTGTCCACCACACCATAACACTACTCCTCCACCACCACACCCTATCATCATCCCCATTACCACTAGTACCACCACTACTATTAACACAACTTTTACCAGGCCACCTTCTGACCCAGCGCGTGGGTGGGTGGGCGGATAAGAGAGTTGGTGGGTGGGAGGGGGCGGTGACCGACAGTATAAATAAGGGTGGTGAGTGGCGGGAGCAACTCAGTGATCGACGAGAGTTTGCGCTGTCGTGAGCGTGTTAGTTCCATCATCCGTGTTGCATGTAGTACCCTGCCTACCTGCTGATCCCTTGATGACCTCTATTGTGCGTCCCGTAACTCGAATTAACAGACTCGTGACGCTCTGTGGTAATCGGTGTGTTGTGTAAAGCTGCGCCCTGCCAGCACCAACACACGTATCAACAGAAAGGAAGGAATTGTGAGAGGCAGGTGGAGGTGAGAGAGCAGCCAGGGAGTGGGAGGTGATCACAGCTGCCCAACACTACACGTGTTCCTCTCTGTCTTGGGGGGAAAGTAGTGAACCCAAAATAGATTTAGATTCGCTGTTGCGTCAGAGTTTAAGCAACACAGTCTAAACACACTCGCACACACACTTCTCTTTCTTGGAAAATCACCAAAGCGACAACAGAAAACGGTTATTAGATAAAAATAGTAACGAATGTTCATTGAATTTTACGTAACAAGAGCTTTAACATTTTCAAGAGCAACCCAGTTCTTTTCCAGTTGTAAAGATTAAGCAGATTATAACTGTGTTTACCGGAGATGCTCTTGAGTGTTACATAAACCTTTATTTACAGTGGTAATCATCCGTTCTGGGAAGACAAGAAAATATACGCCAAGAAATAAAGTGATGCGAGTACAAACAACTTGGTATTAGTGTGTCAGAACTATTATTTACACCAGCGCAAGTATCGCCATATCAGTCACCATGCCTGGGCCCATATGTAAGCCCTCCAGCCCCTCAGACAACACATCTTGCGACCTCTCGGTGTTTGAGTCATGTGAGGATATGCCACAGGGTTGGGAAGGACTCAACGGCAACCTGTCCAACGAGAGCATCTATCACGACTGTGACAAACACTATCAGAATGATTATCACAAGAAATATGTGAACGGAAGCGAGTTGGAATATTCCGAAATTTACCGAACAATGTCGACCACAGAAATCATTAAAACAGAGGCAGCCTCATCAGAGTATGATGATATGGACAGTGAGTTAGAGGGGCAGGATAAAGAGAAGGGTTTATCGAGCGTGAAGGAATGTTCTGAAGATATGGAGGTGGAGGATGAGGAGTCGGAGGAGGCTGTCGAAACCATCAACGTGCCGGTCGTGGAGGCATGTCTTAGTGTGGACATCAGCACCTCCCTCACTAGGCAGAAGATAGCCTCCGTGCAGAGAGGTCGCACGTTGTCGTATGCCGATAAAGATGATGCCGAAGAATCGCCCACGCGACGGACTCGAGCACTAGCGTACGCCAATGAAAGCATAGATAGGGGAATGCCTCTTCACCACCGCCCCTCTGTTCAAAATGAAGGTCGTGAGAACCACAAGTTGACTCCCAGCACCTCTCGTTCTAATCGTGTGTCCCGTAATCCATCCTACCAGCTCGCCGTAAGGGATGCAACTGCCCTATCCCCAAAACGTGTTAATAAGCCCGAGAAATTAGATAAAGACTGTAGCAGTGCTGAAGAAAACACGACTAGCGACAAAAATTCTGTTGAAAATACCACAAAAGATAAAAAGGGAACGGAATACAACAAACGGCATTTATCAGCTGGGGACGAGATTACCATGCCCCTGGCAGCCAACATGCCCCGTAGCGTCTCTTTCAGTGGGCCAGAAAAGGTGTCCCCGTCTCTGCCTGCCAGCGGCAGTCTCTCAGAAGGCAACAGCCGAAGCGGCAGTGTGTCGCAGCTGTCAGCTCTAACATCCAAGCGTTCCTCGCCTCTCTCGCCTGAAAAAGCGTCACCAACAATTGTCCGAGGCTCCGCCATCACCCGCAGCTTCCGTCGATTGTTCAGTACACCGGCTCGCACTATTCCTACCAGTCCACCTGAGGAGTTTTGGCCAGACGTACCTGACGTACAGGGTTCTTCTACTTCAGAACCAAGAACACCTTCGCGCCTTCGCAAGCTCAGTAGTTCACTTTCCCGGCGGCTGTCCACCCGCTCTAAGATGAGCGATAAAAGCAACTCCCCGGGCACTAACGGCCACCAGCTGTTGACTCTGAACGGTACAGCCGTGTTCGAGGACTCAGATAACTTGGTGGAGTACGAGGACCTCCTGAAACTGTTCTGCTGCTCGGGCTGCCAGGAATTCATGGCCCCACCCCTACACCAGTGCAGGAAGGGGCACCTCGTGTGTGGTTCCTGCCGTTTCTCCCTCAAGCAGGTGTGCCCTGTATGTAAACAACGCTTCGCCGATAACACCAACCAGATGATGGAACAGGTGAGTTGTTTTGTTGTTGTTCTTAGATTCTTCCACCATTATGTCAATATCTGGAGCCTCGTGTTCTGTGCCTACATCGTGTGATCAGGTAAAGGTAAAAGATACTAGTCCCTCAGTTTTGTGACTGCTTCATAAAGTTAGGATCAGCTTATTCTTATCACCTTGTCATCGTCATTAACGAACCATTAGTTGTAGTAGATGATAAAGGACACATGACGTAATTTCCTGTCTTTTGTCTCATACTTTTCTTTAGTATTGACCTTAGGCAACATTTGTACAACACAGATATGAATTTGTGATTCCATTAGTCGGTTGTTCATGGCACCCTGTCCAGACACACGTATCTGTATTAACTCTGGTGACAGTGTTACTCAATCCTCACCTTACACTTGTCACTCAGTCTTGCCCACCACATATCAAAGTATTGTAATTTTCTCTGTCATTTATTAGAGTGACATTGAGCCGTCACACTAACATAATAAAAGGCGTGATAAATATGTTGCTTGTCTGTGTCTCTCTGATGGCGGCAACATAGTACCACTATTTGACAAACGCTATTGTGTACGCAGATGACATCCTCATGCCGTTGGCTTATTGCGTCGTAAGAATATTTGACCCACCTGTATACTACCGCTTAACATTACACCTTCGTCACATGCCAACTATCATGCTGGTAGCCAAGACCTGGATGCTCATAGAATCATACTTTAGGGATGTTGGGCAGCACCTGCCTGGCGTGCTATAAACGGAAGGTGAAATGTTGTGGAAGTAGCATTGAGACTATACCGTAACCAGAAGTAAAAAAAAAATGCATCGGCGAAAGGCTATGGTAAACTTCCCATAGAATAAAACCCAGGAAGTAAAAGATATACCAGAGAGGAACATTTGTGTCTCAACTCACGTGGTCTCCGGTCTTGCTTTTAGATTTTCCTAATCCACTAGTCACTAGTGTGATGAGGTGATGCGCCTGGTTAGCTACTGCGCACTCTGGTGACCGCTTCTTTGTCTGCGCCTGATTCACAGATGATCTGTAAACTATAACCTAACTCTTAAAATATTTTTTACACTTAACTAATGACCAGCCTTGATTTAAATTCAAATTCAGTACTTAACCTAAACTCAACCTATCTAATTCCATCCAAACTAATCGTAATCTAATGGAGGGACAGATGTCTTACACTTTCGTAGGCAACAACAGGTAAGTGCATACCTAAACCGAGTATGCGTGGGTTTTGCCTCTTAAGTGCCCTGGTCCAGTGTTGACTACCGCAAGCAGTGTGTTTACAAACTTCCCACCTTGTTTACTGTACGAGACTCGTGCGGGTCACTGAAGAGGGGTGCGTGAGGGTTGCAAGTTTGACCCCAAACCTTACCACCGAGTGATCACTTATGCCTTGTTTTTTTAACTAAGGAATCAATTCCTTCTAAAGAGACGTAGAAGTTTGGATTCTAACCACAACCAGCGATGATTAGTAAAGGTTTGGCCTCTAAGCATCGGTAACATTTAACGTCATAGGTCTTGTCAGTAAATATACAGTAGTCAAATAAAGTCATTGTTCTCATCTGTAGACTTGACCAACACTACGTCGTTTATGTGTAGTGCAGTTACAGCAGCGCCTTCTGTGTTCCTCACTGTCCCCTGTCATAAGTGAGACGCACAACAAATACCGATACACCAGATTTTGTATCGCTGCACTGTTCTTTTTATTGGTTCATGACCCATTAAAATGTTCGCAATTTTCATACAGGTCTTTTATATAATGAAATAAACTATAATGAAGTTTATGATATATTTTTTTAAATATATAAAATGACTGGGAGACAATTTATAGCTCATTTGACAAGGTAACACAATTTTGTCCATTACCGGAACTGTACCTAGCTGTAACTAAACCTATATCTGTAAAATATTCCTAAGTCACACACACACACGTCACGGCGGGCCCTAGTAAACTACACAAGACAGGAGTGTACTGTATTGTGTGCCGCCGCAAGTAGCCACAACATCGCCCTCATTCACACCACATGAACACTTGTTTACGTTGCTGTGGGGAGCTAAATTCCCACCTCCTCCTCTTCCTTAATATAATTAGCTATATAAAAAAAAGAAAGTCTCTCTATATATATGATATCTAGTTGGCACTGTGTCATCTACCACGAAGAAGTGCCAGTCCAGGAATAATTTTGGTCGACCTTAGTAAATAGCCAAACTAGAGAAACTTTGCTTATCATTATCATAATAATAATAATAATAATAATAATAATAATAATAATAATAATAATAATTAACGGTTTATTGAAAGAGCATAGCAGCCAGAAGGATGAAAATATACAGTTACATATTTGGGGAATGGGTTTCGATTTACAAATAATATACAAGTAACATCAGTGATACAAATAAGATGTGTTATTACGAGATGCGGAAAAGCTCAAACTACAGTGCATTTCAACATAGTGACAGTGCAAGAAGTAGGATTTATTGGGAGTGAATACACTGGTTTATAATAAGTTATTGATAATTTTTACAATGGTTGGGACTGGGCTGTTCTTATAGCGATCAGTTCGTGCACGTATGGGCTGGATGCGGTTGTGATGTCGAACAACAATTCTCGGGCTAGGGATCTCAGGTGGTAGTAGGAGCCGGTGTCGAGGGTGGTGCAGAAGCTTCTTAACAAACTTGCAGATGAGGTCGTGGTGATGGTCAGTGAGAGTCGAAAGGGTCAGTGTGTTGAGCGCTTCTTGATATGTGGAGTAGGAAGGGGAGAGAATAATCTTGCATGCCCTCTTTTGCACGTTTTCTAGGTGTTTACGTTGTGTGGCATTTAGGGAGGAAGACCAGGTGGGGGAGGCATAGGTGAGCTTGGGAAGTATGAATGTTGAGTAAACACTGATGAGCTAGGGTGCAGGAACTCAGAGGGACTTGAGTCGGCGGAGGAGGTGGAGACGGAAACTGGAGGATTTGAGAACTTCACTGACGTGTGGTTTCCAATTTAGTTTGTTGTCTGTGGTGACGCCAAGGAGCTTAGTGGAATCTACAACCTGGAGTGTGTTGAGACCTAAAGTGATGGAAGGGGGTGGGACAATGTCGGAGGAGAGGTTGATGTGCATAACCATGGTCTTGGTATGGTTGATGGTGACGTGGTTGTTGGTGGAGAGTGGAGAGTGACGGAAGTGGTGCTGTACATAGAGAGGTTTATAAGTATACTTTTACGTGTAAAATACTGATTTACAGTACAGTAATTATCATATGGTGGCACTGTAGTAATGGTGGTGTGTTAATGGTGGCACAGTAGTAATGGTGGTGTATTAATGGTGGCACTGTAGTAATGGTGGTGTGTTAATGGTGGCACAGTAGTAATGGTGGTGTATTAATGGTGGCACAGTAGTAATGGTGGTGTATTAATGGTGGCACTGTAGTAATGGTGGTGTATTAATGGTGGCACTGTAGTAATGGTGTGTGGTGGCACTGCACTGTAATGGTGGCAATGAATTGTATTAATGGTGGCACTGTAGTAATGGTGATGTATTAATGGTGGCACTGTAGTAATGGTGGCACTGTAGTAATGGTGCCGCATTAATAGTGGCACTGTGTAATGTGGTGTTTTAATGTCGGCACTGTAGTAATGGTGATGTATTAATGGTGGCACTGTAGTAATGGTGAGGTATTAATGGTGGCACTGTAGTAATGGTAGTGTATTAATGGTGGCACTGTAGTAATGGTGCCGCATTAATAGTGGCACTGTAGTAATGATGGTGTTTTAATGTTGGCACTGTAGTAATGGTGATGTATTAATGGTGGCACTGTAGTAATGGTGAGGTATTAATGGTGGCACTGTAGTAATGGTAGTGTATTAATGGTGGCACTGTAGTAATGGTGAGGTATTAATGGTGGCACTGGAGTAATGGTGAGGTATTAATGGTGGCACTGTAGTAATGGTAGTGTATTAATGGTGGCACTGTAGTAATGGTGGTGTATTAATGGTGGCACTGTAGTAATGGTGGTTTTAATGGTGGCACTGTAGTAATGGTGGTGTATTAATGGTGCTACTGAAATGTAATGTTGGCACTGTAGTAATGGTGATGTATTAATGGTGGCACTGTAGTAATGGTGAGGTATTAATGGTGGCACTGTAGTAATGGTAGTGTATTAATGGTGGCACTGTAGTAATGGTGAGGTATTAATGGTGGCACTGGAGTAATGGTGAGGTATTAATGGTGGCACTGTAGTAATGGTAGTGTATTAATGGTGGCACTGTAGTAATGGTGGTGTATTAATGGTGGCACTGTAGTAATGGTGGTGTATTAATGGTGCTACTGAAGTAATGGTGGTGTCTTAAAGGTGACACTGTAGTAATGGTGGTTTTAATGGTGGCACTGTAGTAATGGTGGTGTGTTAATGGTGGCACTGTATTAATGGTGGTGCCTTAATGGTGCCACTGTATTAATGATGATTTTATGATACAGGGTGTGCCTCGGTGGTGCCACAATCATACAGGTGGTGCCATAACTTAGATATGTTTAGAAACGTGCCTAAAATACTGTAAGAGTTAAGAGAGTAGTGCCAAGTCCTGTCTGATTTCTCAACATGTCATGGCATAGGGATATAATCTTAGTGACACTTCTTGTAGATTGGCAACAATATCTCGTGTCAGAGCTGGTGGAAGGAATGATAGGTGTCAAAGCTATGAAGAAATGATTCAATGGCGTCAGAAATGGTGATGGTGAAAGAATGATTAAATGGTGTCAGAAATGGTGATGGTGAAGGAATGATTAAATAGTGTTAGAAATGGTGATGGTGAAGGAATGATTAAATAGTGTCAGAAATGGTGATACTGAAGGAATGAATGACTGATTTTAGAGGGTGTCATCAATCGGTGTGAAAGAGAGTGAAATCAAGATGTCAGTGTCAATGGAGGTATCAGTGACCCATATCGAGTGCTCGGTGTACTCACGTCCCGATTATGGTCAGGTAATGGGAACCGTCACTCCATAGCTGCTGT